CTTTTAGGTGTTTTTTTCGCTCAAAAAAAAAATCCTGAAATATACATTACTAGGACGATTTCTGTCTTATGTACAGGGTCCCCCGGGGGATGCTGATACGTGCAGCGTGCTTCAAATTTAGCAAGGACAAATTTTGATGTGATTTTTGGTGAAGAGAAACAAGTTTTGTCAGCGTCTAATAGCTGGTACGGGAGAGCCCTTTACTACTGTGTGCATAATTACGCGTCCCGCCAGACGGCGGGAAGCCAACAAAGTGTTCAGACATTAGTATAGAAAACTCCGCCTCTTTCTGGATTTTTGGTAGCCTACTGACCAATTCCCAGTCGAGACTTAAGTCTGACGGGAGGCGTAATTTTGCACAAGGTGGTAAGAAGCGTACTAACCGGAGCCAGGTTGTAAGAATTTTCCAGATACCTTGAGTATTATCCTTGAAACACGCTTGCCAATTCCCCTATCGCCTTTTGGAATCGACTTGACCCTGCCTTCACCATGGCCGAACAATTCTTTTGGCACTCTACATCTGCTATTGGAACCACGACTCCACCCAACACCGAGATTTGATCTATGAGTGGAGCAAATTGTCAAATCATCGATATCTTTCGGCGTCTTGAAGATGCCGGCTCGCGACAAAATCAGATCAACTTCATTTTTAGCATCTGAAAACTTGCAAAACTTTTTTCGTAAATTGTAATGATTTATGCCAGTAAACGGTGGCTACAAGTAGGCACCATGTATATTTCATAGTCGCTAGCAAGTATATTTTGTCCGACTTTGAGTTCGTCTCACGTTGGAACAACACAAATACACGAGGAAATTTTTTAAAGTAACTTCATAACCATCCTTTTGTATTTCAAAAGCTAGAAGCTCAGTAGATTTTGTCATATCAGTCATTGTTTAAACTGTCTTTGTCTTGATGCTACTTTTGGACATAGAAAAAGTATTTCGGACAAAAATATTCACCAAAAAATAAATATTTCATTGCCAGCTTCAATAATGACAGGGGATTAAGTTTAGATGATAAGCGGAGGTCAAGTATATTCGTTACACGAGGTCACACAACTCGAGTAACATTCACGGTAAAATTTGCATATTTGAGCGGTCGAGCTAAAAAAATTATTTCTCGAAAAAGAAAATATATTCTCACAAAAATCTGCACCACAATTATTAGGACATATTGGGCTACAAAATATAAAAGTATGAGTGAAAACAATTTTGGGTGACTTGCCGCTATTTGTCTAATGTTTGTTGACATTAGCTCTTAAATTTTTCCGAGATTAAACGTAAGACTCCATCTCCTCCGCTCAACTAAAGGCGAATTTCTACCTGAGAAGGCGACGTATAAAATAATTGCGAAATACTAATAGTATCAAAAATGTCTATCTTTACGTTTGACTCTTAAATTAAGGTAATTTGTTGCTATTTTAGTCACTTTTCCTTATGAACTTTCATCGATAGGGAGCTAATCAAGTGTCCATATCATCTGCGTGAAATTAGGACTTCAATCATTATCAGCCTCGACAAACTGAAATTATGAAGATCAAGCGGGGAACTTTGAATGATGATGTAAAAAAATTGGACTCGTGATTGGACTAAAATTGGACTAAATATGCTGATTATTTCATTACTTAGAAAAAGTCACACTCAAGTTCCTTTATTGTTTTGAAAACAGCAATATAGCTGATATCTTCATGTTTGCCATGGGATTTGACTTTAGCGCTAATTAGTGCTCGAATTAAATTTTATTGATTGGAGTAAACAGCTAGTAGCGGCCAATTCAACCACAGCAGTCAAACACTGCGCATGCACGTGTTTTGAAAAGAATACGGGGGATTTTCAAACGCGTGTTCTGCATAAAGTGGAGAAGGAGAGGTTAAGTTCCTAACTATTCCAAATTGAATGCGTAATACAGTTGAGAGAGGGATTTCGGAGAAAACTTAAATCTTGGTCTAAATCAAACGACAGAACCTTTCTTTTACCCTCGCTACACAGTCTACTATCATAACATAGACCTGTTATCGTCACCAATATCTTATGTGGCACTGGTTCTTCCTTTTTCACACATTTCCCTCGGTGATGACGGCAACTCCACCATAAATGCAATAAGGAATAACCACCGCCAGCACGTCCAGGCTTACGATTTCATCGCGCCGCTAGGCAAAGTTTAAAAAAAAGTACGAGAGTGTAAACTAGAACCACATAGGTTAAGTCTAGAGCAACAAAGTGTATAAGTCTAGGCCTTAGAAACTTTGAACTTTCCTAAGAAACTGCAAAAAACTACGCATCATTTGGATTCTCAATGTCTAGAATAGCAAATTATCCATCTAAAAGCGCACGCGTAATCATTTGACCGCTGTGTTGCTTATTTATAACTGTTTTCCAGTCAAGCTGCAGTCACTATTCGGAATAATTAAAGAAGAGATAAATGGGAAGGAAAATTGCCGAGAAAAGAACTTTACACAACAATCAAATAAGTTGTTGGATTTGTTTTGACAATGAAGGCACTCGTGTGGTTTGCTTCTCAGATATTTCCCCATCGATGAATAAAATAATGGTTTAAAAGTTAAAATAAATAATTTAGAGTCGAAAGAAAAGTAAATATGTTACGAAATGAATAATTTAGTATTTGATGAAATTTCGTACTCAAAACGAGGCTGAGGGTGTCATGGCTGGATGATGTCTCCTCAGATTCCTGTGTGCTTCATATCTTAATTAATTAACCCTTTAACTCCCATGAGTGACCAAGACAGAATTTCTCCTTACAATATCAATACAAAATCAAACAGATAAGTAGTGAGAGTAAAGAAAAATATCAATTTGGGGATAATTAGTTGATCCAATAATATATTCTCTTGACTAACATTATAAGAATTGTATGACTGATAGTAAGGAGAAATACAAATTTGATCTGGGAGTTAAGGGGTTAACACACACTATTTACTAGTTAAGATGCAGTCGCTATTCGGTTGACGCGATACAGAGGGCTGGGTACAGTGCACTGCGGGTGCAGTTAGCGTTAGTTGTTTGTTGCGCACCAATCTATAGTAAAACATATCAATCAGACTCAGTCGTTGTATGGAGAGTATCAGTTGTCTCATTTTATTTTAACTTGAAGTTATATCCGTATTTTTTTGTTAGAAAATTTGGGGAGTAAGACATGCAGTAAAACAGACAATCAGAGAAGTACTTTGCTGTCCGCAGCGTTACCTCCTCCTCGGTTTGGTTTTGTAAGACTTTCATTAAGTCATGATAATTGTTAGGGAGCGCTCGTCAAAAATGTCATTGATTAAGGAGAAGAAATAAGAAGTTCAGTAGAATCGTTGTACGTCGAGCTTTTGTCAATAGTCTTTTCAAAGAGTAAACGCTAGTGAGGGAGTTTTGAAGTAAATGTTGCTGATGAAGGTAGAATTGAACAACTGTGGGACGAGTTTTGATAATTCCTTAGCATATGTCCATTGGTTTTCGACTACCACTTATAAATTGTTTTCTTCACTTCAGTATTAAGATGTTACCGTTGTGATGAAAGGAAAATTTTGACAACTGCCCCAGAGCATTGCAAAATTACCTGCCGTTTATATGAGAGATTTCTTGATACAAAAACACTTTTATTTTCTCTCTAACCAGACGTAGGAAGTAAGAAAACTAGATCATAGGGTCTCTAGGCTAACTTTTCCTCGTTATTGTTCAGTACTGTCTTCAATACAGGCAGAATATTTCAATTTAATAATGGGCAGTCAAACAGTAATATAGCTGATGCCTATTTGTTTGTCAACGAAATTACCTTTTAGTGCTTATTTGTACTAAAACTGAAATTCTTTGAGATTAAAAACTTGTCGCAGCCCACCCAAACGCTTTATTAGTTTCATCAGCTGCAGTCGCCATTCGGAGAAGTTGATAAGTTGTTGGTTTGTCTATCAGCAATTTTCCCGTCCAAAAATAAAACGATAGATCTAAAGTTGATATATAAGTATATATATAAACCCATTTTCGAAAATTTTGCTATTTGAAATATATTTTAAATAGTATGTTCATGTAAACGAGGCCTAATACAAGTCCGAATCTGTCTTGGCAAGCAGGTGTCTCCTTAACAACTTATTCGTTCCCCAGTGTGCGATAAAAAGCACGAGGCAATTTCAGAAAGTTTGAAATATGTGTCAGAGTTGGTAAAGACGAAACTTCTCCTGGAACAGTTATAAAAATTTTTTATCGATTATTGATAAGCTTCGAGCGCCCATCCCTTCATTTTCCATCTCGATTCATAAATTATCCTGTTTACCTTAGTATTAGGAACTAATTGTCATCACCAAAGAAGAGTCGCTAATTACCTAAGAGAATCGCACGAACAGAAATTGAATAATTTTCCTTTTACAGTTACAGGAAATGGTTAAATGGCGTGCTAACTTGATCCTGTTTCTATTTTGTTTTTAGTTCTATTCGGATACGAAACGGGGAGAAAAAAAGCTAGAAAGCGAAATTTGATACACAGTTAATTTCAAATATTTTGAAACAAGTTTGTATGTGTGGCCGTACATTAATTTTGAATAGTTATGTAGTCTACGTTATACATTAGGTGACTGTCACGAATTCAGTTTTTCTCATAGAATAATTGACATCGCCAGCTTGAGCTTTGGCATTTTTAGCTTTCCGTAGCTGATAATGATTCAAGTCTTAACTTCACACGAAAGATATGGACCCTTGATTAGCATCCTATTATAATGGGATTTGATTCTAGTAAAGAGCGGATCTTTGCCGCTCTGTAAAAACACCGAAATAACAGATGTTTCTATATGTGCCTTTAATTGCTATTTCATAAAAGAGGCACCCAAAGATTCCCGAGAAAAATAAAATTTTTTTGACCCAGCAGAAAATTTCCTAATGCATTTTGAATGAGTAAGTCTTTATGCGACAGTTAGTTAGGAAGTTAAGCTTCAGTAATCCTTGCTGCCATTTTCCGTTGCAAGAACAGAAACCTACAAGAAAAGGAACACGCCGAAGACAGAATTATGTCGACAACAAATTTCAGTAGCGGTAGAAGTCGCACGGAATCATTTAAAGAACTGCTATGCTCTTCCTCTTTGGTGAGTGGGCTTCAACAACAACTATCAATTTGCTTCTTAGCGGTTGACATTCTCCTTCTCATCACAGCATTTGCAGGAAATTCTCTTATCCTTGTTGCCCTTCACAAGAAATCTTGCCTGCATCCGCGTATCGTTGTCTGGCAACCACTGATCTGTTGGTTGGTCTTGTTGCTCAGCCTCTCGATGCTCTATGTTGGATGTCCGTGGTTCAGGAACACTGGAGCCTTTGTCGACACGCAAGGGACGCAGGCGGCACCACAGGCCGTGTATTGAGTTTGATGTCTTTGATGACGATGACGGCCATAAGCTTGGACAGACTTCTCGCCCTGTTGTTGGGACTGCGATACAAGCAAATTGTAACTTTGAAGCGCACGTATATTATTGTAACTACCTTTTGGGTTTTTACCCTTGTCGCTTCTTTAAGTGGATTATTTTATCACCGTATAATCTTTATGTACAGCTCCCTAGTTATATCATTTTGCCTGGTAATATCATTCGCATCGTACACAAAGATTTTTTGCACTCTCAGATATCATCAAGCACAAGTAGGAGATCAACAACAGCCGAGCCAAACAAATGCACTGAACACGGCGCGATTCAGAAAGGCAGTATACAGTGCACTGTGGGTGCAGTTGGCATTAGTTGTTTGTTATGCACCACTATGTACAGTGAATATTGTGATCGCTCATACCAAAAAATATTCATTTCTCTTATTCGTCATATATAAAGTAGCAATTATTTTACTTTGCTTCAACTCGACGTTAAACCCGTTCCTATACTGCTGGAAGATTAGTGAGGTGAGACAAGCAGTGAAGCAGACAATTAGAGAAGCACTTTGCTGAGTTAGGTCTTCCTCGAGTTCTTCAGACTTTCAAAGCAAACTCATTAAGTCATGATTATTATTAGAGAGCAGTCGTTAAATACGTTTTTGAATAAAAGTAAATAAGTGGCTCAATAGAATAGTTGCATAGGCTGTTGTCGAAAGTCTTTATATCTCTGAGAAAAATTTAACGACAGACTAGGTAACCGTAGCTATGTGTTTTCAAAAATATGGTTTCTTGCCGCTATGCTAAAATACAAGATGTCATAATCGAAGAAAAGATATGCAAACATTTTACTTTCATGTTTTCTCCTCTTAGCAGTATGAAGGTATCAGATAAAACTTCGAAGAGTAGTTTAAGAGATGTGTTTGAGGCCGATGTTGTGTGTTTCGAGAAAACTATTTCGACTCATTTTTCCTGTAATTAAAAGAAAGCGCTTGACGTTGATGTTGACGCCATATTGCCAAAAGAGACAGTCCAGTTTAAGTCTAGAATTTGTTTGTTTTGTGATCAGAAAATTACCCGTAAAGCCTATGTGAAGAAGTTTCTGTTACTTGTATATTTAACTGAAAGTTACGAAAGTATTTGAAATAAAATTGATCATCTCTGTTTGTTATGGAATTTTTTTACAGATCGATCGATGTGCTGAAGTTATATTGGCAACGGCGAAAAACAAGTTTCGTATTATTGTATAGAGGTCACCATAAGTTCAGTTTGTCACTGGTGTATCTTTAGGTTGTCTCTGAGTTTTACGGATTTTATTTCCTCCATTTCCGAGTGATTAACTGCTGTCCCAAAGTTCCTCAAATGTTTTTTTAAATTCGTTTTCAAAGCTTTATTATGAGCTCAGAATTTGCTTCAATACCATACCATCTAATTATCGGCCTAAAAACGACATGTTTATTTCACCCATTAAAGAAGTGATAAAATAGATCTTTTAAGACCTAGGAGTCTCATATCGCATTGTAAAATAAAAAAATATAGCCCATGTCTTTGTGTTTGTCAAGGAAATTCCCTTTCAATGCTAATTTGAATTAAACTGAAACGTTATCTAGTAAAATCAACAGCTGGTTGCGACAAACATCTTTTTGTTTGATTAGTTTTAAAGCTACCGTCGCTGTACTGAAAAGAAAATTCCCTGGGAAAGAACTCTTTCTGAGGAAGGATTGACGCATCTCTTAGCAATTAATTAAGTCATTCATCTAGTTTTTCTTTCAGCTAATCTTTGCATCTTTGGCCTTACATCCTCAAACTTATTCAATTCGCATTGAAGCCATAATATTGAGTGCCTTCTCGCAAGCTAAATAAAGCGGGGTTGTTTGTTGCAACATGAAACAATAATTTCAAAGATGTCTTTGAATAGTTGCCTCTTATTCCTATTTCATACGTGATGTACATGACAAGCTAAGCACAAAAAAAGCTTTTTTGACATAGCGAACAATTTTCTGACGTATTTCAAACGTGTAAACAATAGTGAGAAGGTTTTTATTTGAAATGTTACGTAGGAAAAGGGTTTCAGGGATCGTTCTTGTGCAATTGGAGTTAACTAAAATGAAATATTTTTCTGGATGCTATCACAGATTAACTCATGGCAAGAATATTGCCAACTTTTGAAATATTTGATATATCCAGTTTAATGCTGGTCTGTGTTTTCTTCAAGTTTTCTCGATCCTATGTCTACCGACCCGAGTGATTAACTGTTCCTAACTTTCGCTTCTTTTTCCTTGAACTCGTTCCATGACGCTTTTTAGGAATTCAGAATTCACCACAATACAGGGATAATCTTTGCACTTAATTACCGGTCCAAAAGAATGACAGTATATTTAAATATACCGTTGAAACCGCTTATGCTGTCATTCAAAAACTGACAAAAGAGAATTTCCTTACCATATCGTCAAACAGAAATATTACTGACCGATGTCTGTGTGCTTGCTAAAGGAATTAACATTAAAGGAAGAAAAATTGTAGATCGAAAATGACAAATGTAAAGTTGGAATAAAAATTGGCATCAAAGGAAAAAAATTTTTTTTTGGTACCCGATGGAACTCTGGGATTAAAACGATATCGAGGGCGTAGTGCCATCATGGCTGGTTTCTCCGCCTCCTTTATTTTCAGTTAGCGCCCATTTCTCTTATCTTGTTGACCAAAGGGATGAAGAAAGGAAATAACATCGTGGGGCGAAATAGGCAAAATAGGCAAAACAGTTTTTGTTAAAAAAATCATCATAACTTTCCTGACGAAAGTGAAAAAGCTGGTAGAGAACGAGTTTGAAAAATCGATGGCGCGCGGCCTAACATCGTGTTACGGTTTTGCTTTTAAGATCAGTCCGGGGACGAAAAGCGGAAAGAAAAAACCTGTCATTACAAATTGATTCAAACATTTAAAAATACGTTTACATCTGTGACCAAAATTTACATTTAAATTGTTTGATGCATTCGCAGATTGTCTCAAATCGCACTTTTCTAAGACCAAATAAAATCGCGCCAGCTTGAAATTTTAATTTCCAATTTTTCATTGCTACTAATGACACAAGTCTGAACTTCACACGAATAATATGGACACCAGGTTAGCACCCTATCAGTGAAAGTTGATCTAGATAAAAGGAGATTGTTCGTCGTTCTTTTAAAAGAATGATACCACAGATGTCTCTCCATTTTCTACTTATTTCCATTTCATGCCTGAGGCACTTCAAAGGTTCAATTTTTGAACACAACTGACAATTTTCTGACGTATTTTAAAAGAGTAAACACTGATGAAGAATTCTCAGTGTGTATAAATATCATTATTGAAGTATGAGGTGTAATTGATCGTGGCTGGATGTGGGCTGTTTAGACGACATATTGCTCGTGGCAATCTTAGATAACCTTCGACAAATTTCAGAAGAGTTGGAACACAGACGAAAACAATTGAAAAACTGCTATGCTCTCCTCTTTGTTGGTTGGGCTTCAACCAGAATCAGTTTCATACCTGAGGCATCCCACAGCTGCAAATTTCGGACGCATTTTAAATGATTAAACACGAGGGAGGAAGTCTTTATGAAAGGTTTCAGTTATCATAGTTCGGCGTGTCCTGTTTAGACGAAATATTTCTCGTTGCAAAAACAGAGGAAACGAATGCAGAATTATTCGACAACAAATTTCTTCAGAGGTGGAACAAAGACAAAAACATTTGAAGAACTAGTATGCTCCCCCTTTTTGATCATGGGTGGGCTTCAATCAGCATCAGTTTCTTTCGCAGCAGTCAACATTTTCCTCGCCGTCACAGCATTTCTTGGTAATTCTCTCATCCTTGTTGCCCTTCACAAAGAATCTTCCCTTCATCCGCCGTCCAAACTCTTGTATCGGTGTCTGGCAACAACTGACCTGTTGGTTGGTCTTGTTGCTCAGCCTCTCAGTGTTACTTATTGGATGTCCGCGGTTCACGAACACTGGAGCCTCTGTCATTACGCAGAAGAAGTAGCTTACATTACGGGCGTAGCATTATGTGGAGTTTCTTTGCTGACGATGGCGGTAATAAGCGTGGACAGGCTTCTCGCCCTGTTGTTGGGGCTGAGATACAAAGAGATTGTAACTTTGAAGCGTATTTATATCATTATAGTTAGCTTTTGGGTTTTATGTCTTGTCGCCTCTTTATGCATCATTTTCGATCAGCATATAATCACTTTGTGTGTCTTGATATCGATACCACTTTCGCTGCTTATTCCACTCGCCTCGTACACAAAGAATTTTCGCACTCTTAGACATCATCAGGCACAAGTTCAACAACAGCCGAGCCAACCAAATGCACTGAACATGGCGCGATACAGAAAAGCAGTGCATAGTTCACTGTGGGTACAGTCAGTATTAGTTATTTGTTATACACCATACCTTATTGCGGTATTTGTAATCACTTCTAGTACAACATATTCATCAACCTCAGTCGTCGCAAGGGAAATAGCAGCTATCCTTATTTACTTTAACTCGACGTTAAACCCGTTTCTCTATTGCTGGAAGATTAGTGAAGTGAGACGAGCAATGAAGCAGACAATCAGACAAGCACTTTGCTGTCCATGGAGTTAGACAGTCTTTAGACCATCCTCGAGTTATATATGATCGTATAAGTACTTTCAGTGCAAAGCTGACCGATAGAGAACGCTTGTCGCTTAAATTTTTGCTCGAGGTCTGTCGATAGTATTTTTTGCTAGTCACGTAAAACAAAATAAAGGAAAGGTAATGGAAACACAAACCAAAACTTTTAAAAAAAATATTTTTCATGCTACTAAACTTTTTTTTGAGCGCATAAATTATTAATCCAAGGAAAGATATACGTGCACAAGAGGATATATAATGTCTTATAATCTCTTGACTTAAATTATACTCTCATGAATGTTATTATAAGAAAGCGAAAGAAATAAAATTAACTATAACAGTTTTTATTTAAGACTACGCGGGATGCGGTTTCAGAGGGTTGCTGCTCCAGTGCCGATCGATCCTTCATTAAATTAAACATTTACACGGATTATCATGAATGTTTTGAATTAAGTACAAGTTAACGAGCTTTAAATAGCCTATACTGAGTTCATAATATTCTAAATTTGTTCAGTTTCTCGTGAAATAATGGCTCTACCTTCTCGAACGCACGTGTACGCTTGGTAAAATCCTACCTGACATAAAAAATTGAAACAGGGCTCTTGTTTCGCATTCTTGGAGTTCCGGTAATTTGAGTTTTTATTTAACGAATCGGTTGACAATGCTGCACATGTGATGAAAGTTTTTGAAGAAATCTGCCGGAAAATTTTCCTCTGAACAGTTCAGTCGACCAAAACGACACGATGCACAGGTAGGTAACGAATGATATTGTCTATTGAAACTAAAGCTCGTTTTAAAGCTGCGGTTTTTCTAAGTGAGCGAGACGCTGAGCGTTTAGTCCGATTTAAAGACTGCATTGAGCGAACATCAACAGATGTTTCAAATCCGTTTGTTTCAAAAAACTGAAAATCTAAAATGAGTCCGCAGTGAAGACCGTCAAACGAATTAATCCTTTGTAAACAATATCAGAGCATTGGATAAAACTTAAAAAGTGGTTTAAGTGGTCGTCTGTGAAAATCGAGCGGAGGTGTTGAAAATGAAAAAATTGAATTATTTTCAAACTTTGCCAGAACATAGGTATAAATGGCCTTAGTTATGGAAAAATATCAAAAATGCCGAAAAAAAATTATATTTGGGAGAACGGTGGCATTTTGTGTTTTGGGGGTTCATAACCGTGTTTTCCAAGTGAAATAGTACACCTCAAGATAACGGCCGAAAAAAACTTATTTCGCCAGCAATTCGGAAACAACATAACAATTCTAAAACATGAGATATTTTTCAAAGGTTCTGAAGTTTTTTTTTTCCCAAGATTCCTTAAAAAACGATTTTTTTTTACGAATTTTCTAATTCAGGTGAAATTTCATCCATCAAAACATAGCTCAACTTTGGCGACTAAAATCGGCCATTGTCACATGGCTCCATAAACTGACCATGAGACAATAACCATTGTCAAGAACAAGGCTTCTTCTTTTAGAAACTGCAATAAAATTTTTGGGCTATTTAAACCACTAATTTTTAGAGCGATTTATAGAAGCGTATTTGAGCTCAAGAGGCGCGTTACGTGACCAACGTGACTAGCATGTCACATTAAGAAAAACATTACCAAAACACTCGAATTCCCTCTTATATCATAAAAAACTTCGAAACAGGTCTCCTTCATATTAAATATACATGTAATTTTCTCCTGAAGCCAAAAAGTCATGGCAATCTGGGCAATCTTCAATAGTCTAGTATATGCAAATTGCTGGTTTATGTTGTTACAACGGTCATATTCGCAACTAATACCAACCCAACGATAGCAAAAACTTTTTTAACATCAGAAGGAATTGCCCAGGCTATAATTACACAAAACGTTACTTTTAGAAGTGGTTTCCATGCCAAGAGTACGCACGTTAACCCGCTTCACCGTTTTCAAAACTTATCCATGCTACCATTTCTAGCCACTGCAGTGCGATCGATGGTATGTGATTGCGTTACACACAAGAAGTCCATTAAGTGAGAATGATACAGAAGATGACCAACGTTTTTAACAGAACAAGGTTAGTCTTTATAAAATCCTTTCGATCTAAAACATGTTTATGTAAACGTGAGGTTTTCACTGTCAATTTTTTTTTTTTATAACAAAGCTACAAAGGGATAATCTCAAGGCACTTGGAATAATGTTGGTGTCCCGCTATTCCAGGAGTCATTACTTTCTGAATACGAAGACTATGGTCACTTCCAGCTGGAAAGTTCCTATTTTTCTTTGCACGTACACGACTTTATCAGTTCATTGATCAGACCAACGTATGGCGCTTTTCGTGTAGCAGGAAGGGAATCAATTTTCAATTGGAAATATGTGCATATATCTTGAAGGAAAGAAATAATGAAACGAGTAAGCTTGTTCGTGGCATACAGTTGACAGAGGTTGTATGTGTCATACAAAAAGGGATGACTAAGCTGGCACTCTTGAATTATCTTGTCATGAGCTGAGGAGTATGCCATTTCTTCATCAATGGCTGGTACATCGATCTCTGCCACCGATCCGCCTGTTTGATCTTTGCTGCTGACCTTGAGAAATACGACTTTATCTGCTGTGGTGATAAAAACTCGCCAACAGCAAATCGACGCTCTCCGTTTTCATATTTAGCGCGAAGCATGTCACTCGCAACTTGGGATGGATCTTCTTTGTAACCAGTCTCCTGGCCAAGTTTGAACTTTTCATCGAGATAATTCTTTTGGTTTTCGTTGAAATGCTTTGATTTCTTAGACGCCCTCAGTGCCCAGCCTTCCAAATTTTTGTCGAGCTTGACATCAGTACAGTAAAGCTGGCCATTTGAGGTTGTGTGCTTGTTCCTTCTGTCAGCTTTTGCACATAGAGTATCTTTGCTTTTATCAATGAGGGTAGTTTTCTCTTCTACTATCCTGATACTATCTCTTATCAAGGTGGCGGTCAGGATGGAATTCTGATGTATACTCACGTGACCCCACCGGAACTGAAGTGTAGATGTTAAAGCATAAAGCTTTTGAGACTGTTGCAGAGTCATGCCTCGATCACCTTTTCGAGAAGACTTCCCATGTGGAGCCCAATCCGATGGACAGGAGCATTTTTTTTTATTGCATAACCATCTAGTCCCGAAGTCGTCTCTATGTCTGGGACAAATTGAAAGTTCTTTATGGCTTTCCTCGACTTCAAATATACCTGAAAAAGCGAAGTAGTTTACTTGTTCATTCAGAATGATGGAAATACAAAGCAAAAGAAACAAGCAAACCAAACAAACAAACACACATACACACACAAACAAAAACATAAAACAAGGGAACAAACAAACGAAAATTTCAAATCATGGGAACTTAGTATGGTGTAGAGGGTGTGCAACTCAGTGCAAGCCCCGGCCCTCCCCAGACCCATTTCGTAAAATGATATAAATATAATGGATCTTATTTATAATAGTTGTATAATATGTGTACTTATTAAATAAATGAATGAATGGATGAATGAATAAATAAATAAATATATAAATGTATAAATGAAGAAATGAAAGAAGGAAGGAATGGATAAATAAATAAATAAATAAATTGTAGGCATGGACCAATGCTTTATATTTCATGACAACATATAATGCTGTTTAGCATCCTATTGTCTTGTATTCAAGCGTTTATGTGGATTCAAGAGATAAATCTTAAAGCAAAGATAAAATCAAGGGCGTTGAACTGTATCACGTTGTAATCTCATTGATCGTAGTGCAAAATAGAAAAGCAGGACAAAGAGTGATACAGTATTTGCCTTCGCTAAACATTCTTGACATGTTTGATAATGAGATATTTACCTGCTCTGGCTAGAAGAAGAATGAACTCACTTTTCAGCTAAGCATCATGGCATTTATATGTTTTAAGATGACCTTGGATGTCTCTTTTGCATTTAGTTAGGGCTATGCATTTACTTTCTCCACTGGTCTTGCGGGAACTACAAGAACCACCAACGAGCTCGGAGTAGCGACATGTCGGCATTTTAGCAAACGAAGCAATTTCAAACAATGCCGAGCAAGGAAGGGGAAGGCGAAGATAAGCATTCTCACGCTCATGGGCTTCCTGTGCGTAACGCAATCACCAAAGGGTGCGAGATGAAACTGACTGTAAATGGTTGCTACAGAGTTTTCCTCCCGATCGGTCACTCTTTTAATCCTAAATTAAGGGATGGGGGGAGGGGACAATATTGCATGAAAAACATTGTCGACGTTTGAAAATATTTAATATATTCAAGTTTTGTGGAATCCATTTCTTCCACTTCCGAGCGATTTATTATTCCTGATTTTCGCTTCTTTATTTCTTTAAAGTTGTTTGATAAACCTCTTTTGGAATTGATAATTAACCACGCTGCAGAAAACGTTTTTTACCACCTAATCATCGTCCCAAAAGAATGACAGTATATCTAAATAAACTGCTAATTCTGGAAGATTAGTGAAGTGAGACAAAAAGTGAAGCAGACAATTAAAGAAACACATGGTTGAGTCAGGTCTTCCTCGGGTTGTTCTTCAGACTTTCTATCAACACTTACTCATTTATCCTATCAACGTCACTCTTCCTTAGTAGGGACAGTTTTTGCCTTATACTGTGAGTGATAAAAAAAGGAAATTATTTTATTTTTATTTTTACCTTAGCGCAAAGTTATTCAAAGATTAAACTTACCAAGTTGAATAAACATGTAATGTAGTTTTGACGCGCAACACAGTTAGGCGACAAACATCCAGCCTCTCTTAATTAACAAAGATAATTTGCAGGGAAGTTTGCTATAAAAAAACCTTTCTTAAATTTGGAGGGAATTTTTAGAGTTTATTGATGGAATAACATGACAGAATTACCCGTTACAAAGAAATTTACAAAAAGTTATATTTAATGCGACTCCTGGGAAGAAATTAACAGCTCATGTGACAGAAGAAGCATTGAGTATTCGCATGTTAAATAAGTGAACCGCATTACTGAGAAAGTTTCAATGAAAAGGTCTACGTGAT